CTTATCTTTTCCAACAACCTCCCATTATCCCAGGATTCTCCAAGCCCTGTCCAACCTGGCCTTGGACACTTCCAGGGCTGGGATGGCCACAGCTGCTCTGGGATGTCTCTGCAGAATGGCTCCAAAGCATTTCCAAAGCACCAGCTTCATTCTTTCAGCTGGACAAAATCTGTGTCACAGCTGGCATTGCCCAGGGAAGTTTGCCCACATCCATCAGCAGAGGGGAACTTTCTTTAACATTGGAAGATCAGACATATTTTGTAATATTTTTAAAAAATCTTTCAGAGTTTAGCTGCAGATGCAGATCTGGTAAAGCTCAGTAAATACAGGCAAGATCTAGAATTCCTGTTGCTTTGTTCATTTGGAATTGATGTAAAATATAAGAAAAGCTCTATTATTAACATTGGTTGTTAATTGGGTTCAACTTTACCCAGCATTTCTCTCAATAATCCTCCTCCTTTATTCAGAAAAATTTCATATGTGAATTTTTTTTTTGTTTATTTATTTTTTGTTTTGTTTTAAAATATAATTTTAAATGGGTTTTGCTCTGAGCAAGGTGCTGTCTGAGGGCAAGGGCAGATTTTGAGGCCATAACCTGCCTCAGGGTCTGAGAACAGCAGAGGAGTTCATGAAATTTCTACATGTGAACCTTAAAATAATTCAGAATCCCCATCATCTCCCCTAAACATCGATCTCTGCCTCAGCATGCCCTACAGATAGTTAGGATACACTTGGAAAATTCTTTTGAGGATAAACCAGGGGATCGTGACACAGGGGGGCTTTCCATGTTATTTAGGATTTGGAGAGGTCCTTTAAAGACCCTTCTGCCACCCTGCTGAGGAGCAAACCAGCTCACCACACCCTCAGCCCTGCTTCTGGTCCCTGAGACAAAGAGCAAAGCTGGGCTCTGTCCCTGCTGTCCCCAGCTCCAGCACTGCCAGGTCCCCAGAGCTGTGTCCCTGCTGGATCTCTGTCCCTGCTGGATCTCTGTCCCTGCTGGAGCTGTGTCCCTGCTGGAGCTATGTCCCTGCTGGATCTCTGTCCCTGCTGGGGCTGTGTCCCAGCTGGAGCTGTGTCCCTGCTGGATCTCTGTCCCTGCTGGAGCTGTGTCGCTGCTGGAACTATGTCCCTGCTGGATCTCTGTCCCTGCTGGATCTCTGTCCCTGCTGGAGCTGTGTCCCTGC